TATGAAACCTGTAATTCTGTTAGAAATGTAGGACTTGCGTAAAGAAACAAATCCAGAAATCATGAACAATTGTATTTGGTGCTTAAAGCTAGAGTTGTTTTTTTTTTTTTTCCTTGCAATAAGTAACGTCTCATGAAAACGGAACTTTGAGGACTTTCTCAGAATGGTTGTACTTCTTTAACTTTTGGAAGTGCACTGATCTTCCCCAGGTCAGCGCCACTGCAGGAGCAATGCACAGGCAGGGAGCTGTCATTCATTCTCATGACTTGAGCATTTTTTTAAAAGATTTATTTATTTATTTATTTATTTATTTATTTATTTATTTATTTATTTATTTATATAAGAACCGGGGTACAGGCTAGATGCACGGGAGGACGAGAGGATTCATCAGAGACAGAGCCGGGAACAGAACAGGCAGACTGACGAAATACTCTGCTGAGGAGAGCAGGGGGCGAGACAGGAGAGGTCTGCCGCGCCATGTGGGATTCTCATGCGCTGGCTGGGATCAAACTGGCGCTGCAGAGGCTGCGGACAGCTTCACAGCGCTGCACTCAACCGCCTGCGCCACCAGGGGAGGCCCGACTTGAGCATTTTAATAACTATAATTGGATATATTAAAAGCTGAGCTAAATTATATTTAGCATATAGCAAATGGAAGGACTTCCTTTTGCAATGATTTTCTTTTTAGAGACAGTGGTTTTGGGGTCATGTATTCCTCATGCAAAAATTAAATGATCAAGACCTTCAAAGTATCATTATTCAAAGTAGTAAAAACAAAACAATTAGACTGTGGTTATTCCATTTTTTGTTCTTGACATTTGCAAAAATCACCCCCAGGACAATTTACTTTTAAATGAAAAATATGTTTTTATCCTCGTCTGTAAGAGTGGACGTGAGTCTTTCAGAAAAGAAAGCACCCAGTGGTCCAGGTGTAGCCTTGCCTTTTGGGTGGGCTTTTGGCCTGAAGGGACTTAAAATGCAATGACAATCACTCTGCAGTTGTGAAAACTGGACTTGCTTTCCTTTAGGCACCTCCTTGCCCAGAAAACCCCCCACAGGGAGGCAGTGTGGTCTAGAGAATAAAGCACCCTTTTATTTTCTAGCTCTGTCACTGACTTTCTTATGATCACATCCAATTTTTTTAAGTTTTGCCTTTTCTAGGCAGAATCACCTCTTTTAAAATGTAAAACCCATCATTTCTAGTGTTGTCTGTTAACTTGGTGCTCATAGGACAGATGAGGGGAAACCCCTTATCCATGTGTGGGGAATGGCTGGCAGAACCGCAGTTGGGAAATAAATGCATGTTAGTACTTGAGATTCTGCACAGGCAGCCCCTGACCCCCAAACACGCCAAAGCCCCTGCATGGCACACCCCGGACAAGCGGGCGGAGGAACTTAGGGTGCATGCTAGGGTTTATTGTTCACCCAGGTGAATTTCTGACGACCTAGGAGGGTCCAGGCACTGTGCTAGGTGCCGGGAGGCAAAAGGTATAGTTTCTGATTTCAAGGAGTTCAGCATCTCAACAAAGGTCAGAAAAGACAAATCTGAGGGGAAAGCGTGGTAAGCGCTGCCGTGGATCAGCTGGCGCCTGGACAGGCGAGGTGTCCTGGAGGAGAGGCAGGAGCTGGAGAAGATGAGAGGCTCGCGAGTCACCTGTGGGAATGTGTCTGGGGCGGGGTGCGTGCTGGGTGAACCGTGAAGCGGGATGGGCAGAAAGGGATTTGGAAGTTTGGGGAGAAGAATTGAGAATCATTAAAATAGTGTAAGGAGGAAAGGTTGTATTATGTTTGCATTTTTGGTGACTTCACTGAAGTCAATTTGAGGAGGAGAGAGGTGAGCTGAGGTTGCTATATACAGCCACGTGGAAAATGTTCAGGCCCTGAGCTGTGGCACTGGAAGGAAGATCTAGAGAAGGATCAAGTCCAGAAGCATTTGTGAGGCAGAAGCTGCACACAAGGTCTTCTAGTTACTTGAAGGCGTGGTCCAGGGCCATGGAGAACTGAGGCTGACTCGAGCCTCTGGGTTCAGCGGCTGGTGGTAGGTGGAGCTGAGCCACCACCAAGAGTGTGTAAGAGGAGGTGGCGTTTGGGGGGTGATGAAAATCGTGAGCTAGGCCTCAGGTGTTGGAGCTTTCAGGTGTTCCACGGTGTTCATGCGCAGTAAGCGTTAGACATGTGAGTTTGGCTGGAAAGAGGCGTGCAGCTAACAACATTTAGATGGTAATCTCAGCCCTAGAAAGGGAGGAAATTGCCCAGAGAAATGTATGTTGGGTTAAATAAAAAAAAGGCAGCCGAGGACTAAACTCTGGAGCAAATCAGTATCCAAAGCACAGGGCTGCAGAATTATTAAAATAAGTCGTTTCCTATGTTGTATTTCTGACTGCACACTGCAGGTGGACAGAGGGGCCGGGCGCCTAGAACTGGACTTGAGAAGCAGTCCAACGATTTCTTTTCTGTGAAGACAAATGAAAACCACTGGTTTCACTCTGCGGTCTCCCATAGTCACATCATTTTGAGATAAAAAATTTGTTTTTTTGGTAGCAATTCAAAGACGTGGGCTGATTCATATGGGATCTGAAAGTGTTCGTGCTGATAGAGGAAAATTCTGAAAGGATGGACTCGGAGCGTATCCTGAGCCCCTGCAGAGGGGACTGTGCTGGTGGGAGGAGCACAGCCCGTCTGGAGAGGCCAGGCCGTGGCTTCCTGGTGGTGCTTTTATGCTGTTAGTTACCGTTCTATGCTTTATTATTATTATTTTGTACTTGCTCAGTTTAGGACCAAACATAGAACTGTTCTTACGCCCTTCATTCCTCTTCTGATTGTTTTCATTTTCACACCACGGAGGTTGGGTCCAGCCCACATTCCTTCTGCAACGTGTGCTGGTTTTCCCTCGAATAAAAGGCGATGGTGTAAATATTGTCCAAGTGGAAAGAGACAGCCAGGGTGCAGCTGCAGGACGCCCGCTGTGGTGGCCATGGTGGGTAGTGGCGCTGCCTGTGGCTGCAGTTAGATCCCCACAGGGGAGGAGGAGGAGGCAGAAGAGGCAGCTGGCGGTGAGGAAGGGTCACTGGTGCACATGTCGTTGCCAGGAGCGTGAACTTAGCCTGGAGCAAAAAGGGCCTGTCAGTCTTGAAAAGTGTGAAGGGAAGAGACGTCTAGTTTTGAATTTTCTCCCTCTTTTACCCTGAGTTTACTCAGGGCCTCCGTCATCCAGAGCCTGGGGACGCGTGCTTGGTCCATGTGATGTCCCCACTCCGCCTCTGAGCCCCCCAGGACTTGAGTTCTGGCCTCCTCCTGAGGCTGCAGGTTTGTGGAACAGGGAAGCTGCTGTTCTAATGATACTGGAGGAGATATTGAAGCCAGAGGTGCTGTGCCAGCCTGTGGTGAACCTTTGTAACAGAAGATTCCTTCAGCTCACAGAAGCCCGTTGGTCTGGGACTTTTACAAGGGCCAGCCGGCCTTCTGATGTCCCACCTGCCTGCTCTTTGTGTAGTAGGATGCAGTGGGCAGCTTGGTCACGGGCCCACGGCCCCTCACACCGCAGGTATGGACGGGGCTGGGAGGAGGCAGTGCGAGCCCCAGGAAGGCCTGAGTGCTGTCTGCACATGCGGAGGCGGGAGGGGAAGGCCGGGTAGGACCTCAGCCCTGCGAAAGTGTCCCCTCCAGGTGAGCAGCCCTGACCCTCCCTAACAGGACGGTGACCTTGGTCTCTTCCACCACCGTCACGCTGGGCCAGGACTCCTGAGTGGGAGTAGGCGGCATGCAAAGAAACCCGCAAACGCAAGGTCGTTTACCTGGGGTGCACGCGATGTCCAGGAATGCAGGTAGAGCTGACTGCCAGGACAGGGGCCTTCATGCCTGCTCGTAGGGTTGTGTTCGAGGCCGAGCGCCAGCTCTGAGTGCGCGTGGGCGGAGCGCGCGGGGAGGGACCTGCAGGGCGAGTGACGCTGTCGTGGCCGCCTGCGCGCTGGTCACCAGGGCGTCTCCGCGCTCGCGTCCGCCTCGCGGCTGCCGGAGCTCACCCCCGCTGTGTTACAGCAGGAAGAAGGGGTGTGCCACATGTGCGGGGTGTCTGGAGTCCTTCGGGGCAGACAGACGGACTGACATCAGGGGTGCATTGCGAGTCCTCCCGGGCCTCCTGCGCTTGTCCTGCGCCCCGGCCATTCTCCCGAAGGGCAGGCAAATGACGTCCAGAATGCATTTGGCCAGCAGCTTTGCAGTTACTTGGAAGAAAGCTTATCCCACATGTTATTAATTATTTTCCTATAATTAAGGACTCCCAACCAGATAAACAGCATTTTCAAGCTTTATTTTCTTTTAGGAGTTGGGTTCCCTTTGCTTTTGTTTTGGACTGAAGCTAAGGGTCAGCTCTGGCCGGGCAGCACCCCCACCCCTTCTTCCTTGCCCTCCTATTCCCCGTGGTTAGCGCGGGCCTGGCCAGTAGGAGCAGTTCTGTTCTTAAGGGACGAATGGGGTCCTCACTTGACTGTCTCTTCTCTCACCCGCCCTGTTTATTTGTAATGTATAGTGGGTTTATTTGTTTCCTGGAGCTGCTGTTACAGGTCACCTCACTCTGGGGGGCTTCAAACAACAGAAATTTATTCTCACAGTTATGGTGGCCAGAGGTTCAAAATGAGGGTGTTCACAGAGCTGTGCCCCCTCTGGGGGATCCTCCTTGCCTGCTCCAGCTTCTGGTGTCTCTAGCTGGTGCCTGGCTTGGGGCTGCCTGAGTCCAGCCTCTGCTCCTCTCGCCCCATCTCCCCGTTGGTGTTTCCTCCCAGGTCTGCTCAGGACACCTGCATGGTGCAGGGCCCACCTGGCCATCTCATGTGACTCTACCTTGACATCCTTAACTGGGTCACATCCACCTTGACATCCTTAACTGGGTCAAAGAGTTGCTTTGCACGCGTGCACCTGGTCACAGTCCTGGGCGTGGACATTGCTTGTACAGGGTCATTATGCCACCGCCCCCCCATGAGCTCATTCGTGTCAGTGGTCAGTGTTTATCATGGGTTACCTTTCCCTGACCAGGTCTTCTCACCACTGAGAGGGTGGAGGGCCTGGTTTATGTTTCTGTCTAATTTAGGACAGAAGATGGGGGAACAACAAATCAACATTTCGACCTACAGATGGGAAAAATGCGGTGAATGCTGACAACTGGTGGGTGGAGAGAGGAAGCTGAGAAGCGCTCGAGATGTCACTTCACACCCCACCTGCTGATGTCTGCGCGTTGTTGATGTACGAGCAGTGGGCATTGGATACGCGGTGCTCTGAGCGATGACAAATGCGGCGGAATAGTGCTTCTGATGGCTTCAAGAGGCCATTTTGTAATAAGCTTAGCGTTTCACCCTCAGAGAGCACAGGGTGGTTTGTGCAGAGAACTGATGTCATAAAGTCAAGGCCAGAGACTCCTGGGAGCCACACTTTGAAAGGAAGGCCCCACGGAGGCCCTGATCAGGAGAGTGACCTGTGCAATGTTGTGGCGTCTTTGTCGAAACCATCTGCATCCAATTTGGCAGTAGTAAACGCAGTCTCAGAACATATACATGTCAAAGACAGCGCGTCAGCGGGACGTTCCTCGGTCCCTCACTGAGGAGCCAGGGAGAGCACTTTCAGGATGATGTGCCTCTGCTCAGCATTTTATTAAGAGGAAATTGTGGGAGTTGAAATGTTCAGCAGGTGGCAACTGCAGAGAGGTTATTTGTTCGCTTGTTTCTGTTTTTGACTGAATGAGGATAAAAGCGTTGTTGAAAAACGAGCTGGTCTTCCTTATGCGCAAGGATTCGTGGAGAGAAGGGAGAAGTCACGGAATGAAAAATACCCCAAAAGGGGAAGAACGCCCTGCCTAGGTTTGAAATGAGCTGGCGCACCCCAGGAAGATGTTGATGAGTAAAACACTCACGTGCTGGTGAGGACCTGGCAGCAGTGGGGATAGAGTTCCTTTTGCGGGAAGGCTTAGTTGTTGAAATGGGACTCTAATGCATAGTCTTGTATGAAAAATGAAATAACTAGAATTTATTTATAACGTACAGTGGTAGGCGAGTCATACAAAAATGTACTTATAAAAATGGAAAGCACCTGCAACTTTGAGGGTTAAGAAAAACTGAATTTATATAGGGAACCTCAAGGGAAAATTGTAAATCTATCTTTTCCTGTCACTGGGAGTTTCTTTAGGAGAATTCATTGTCATACACAGGCGGTTGAAGTCAAGTAGTAAAGATACTATTGAAAATGTTGGGGATTTATGCAGAAATGAAGGCATATACTTGTCATGTGAATGCCCTTGTTTATACAGAAATAAAATAGACCCCCCCCTTTAAATTTATGTCCTTTCAAAGTGGCTGAGATAACGATATTCCTGTGTCTCCTCTCAAACTTCTGTTGTGACGATCCCCTTTTTATTTTTGTCACCTGTGAATAGCATTGCCGGTTCCCATTTTCTCACTCTGGCTAGACGCAGTGTGACCCCCTTTGTCCACATTCTGACGGGCCTGCGCTATCAGTCAAGCTTTCCCAGCAGCTGTTTTTTCTAGGTGTGTTTGGAATTTGACATTAAAAAAGCAGTAATTCTATATATAGTACATAGAATTAAAGAAATCCATCCTTCATTGCTGAACAGTATAATCTTGCCATTAATTCTATGACTTTTTGAGTTTTAGTTACTAGTGTGTGGATGAGTGTCCAGTCCTGTCCCAGGAGGGCGGATCAGCCCATTTCTCTACTGTCCTTTTCCCTCTCAAATACCTTGCCGCTCACTCCTGGTATGTCTTATGACCTTGATTTATTTTCTGAATTTTCAAACTCCCAACATAGTGACCCATTATAAAATCAGCACAGAACTTTGGTAGAGGACATGATAGTTGAGGATAGTTGAGGAAAAGGAAGAAAGGAATAGAATTTTATATGTATTTTTATGTAAAAAAATCAAGAAAGAAAATTAAGTTTTACTAATTCATTGTTGAAAGGATGGGTTGATAGCACATGAATATACTTTCTACATAAATCTACACATAAGGGGACCTCCCTGGTAGCGCAAGGGGTTAAGACACAACTGATGAAGCTACCCGCAGCCACTGCATCACGAGTTCCATCCCCAGCCAGGGAGCTGACCCACATGGTGCAGCAGACCTCTCCTGACTCACCCACTGCTCCCCTCAGCAGTGTATTTCAGTCAATCTGCCTGTTCCATTCCCTGCTCTGTCTCTGATGAATCCTCTCACCCTCCCGCACATCTGGCCTGTACCCCGGTTCTTGTGTAAAATAAATAAATCTTTAAAAAAATAAAAAAAAACATAAAAAAATATACACATAAGGTGTATGCTTTTTAGAAAATCTAATTGGTGTTTTAAAATATATTTCCTCATTTTTTTTTAGCCTAGCTTAATTTTTTTCTCAAATTTTGTTAATTTCTCAGTTGTTTACATAGCATAACTTTGGGAAACACTAAATTTTAAACTTCAAAATAACTTGTAAAAATAGTCAATTTGTTCAGTTATAGCTCTGAAATTTGACTTGGGATTTTTCCATATGCCTTTTCCTTCCCGGGAGTGTATCGTCTGCACACAAGTGTGCACAGTCCATTCCCAAAATTTCTGGATTTCTTGTCAGTGCAGCACCTGGTGCCTGGGGCTCATCAGAAGCCTTGGCTGTTGCTTGTGCCACCCTGCTGAACAGCAACTGCCTTCACTGATAAATCTGTTGTGAAAGTTTGGTTATTATGTTCCTTTCTCTTCCTTCATGTTTCCCCTTTAAAACACACAATCATCTGACTTTCCTCTCTTGAGTATGTGATTCAGCCTCACTCAAAACCAGTAGCTCGCCAAGTCTTAGCTTTACCAGAAGGTTTTTCCACTTCGTGGAATTTTCTAGAAGTTTCTGGTACTAAAGGGAACATGGTAGTCAGTTAGGTGAGCTTCAAGGTGGTGTGCTCTCTGCTGTCTCACTGCTAGCTGTGCTCTGATGATTTGTCAGTCTCTGCTTATGATGTCCATTTTAAAGCCTGGCTTATCTAAAATATGACATTTATTAGAAAATGAGGTGATATGACCAGTGCTAGACTATCTTCTTAGTATTTTGCTGCCTTTGTTATTTTCTTAGAAAACAAAAGCCCACTCTCTAAATGTTTGCATCCTCAATAAGCCCTTGCTTCAGTGACAAATAATCATTGAACTCTGACAACAGCATTGGGCTGCCAGGAGGAGGATTGGTGGCAAGTCAGAGGGTCATAGTGTTGTATGCGCAGATTTTGAAATGTCAAGCTCCACACGTGAGACTTAGGCTGTGCTACTGGCCCTGCCGTCGGCGTGGCAGAGAAGGAAGTCATCGCTATTGAGCACAGGCTGCATTCCAAGCACCATCTCAGGCACACAGCGTGGAGCCCTCACCAAGATGAACCTATCTTTGCCCCTCAAGGAAGTGAGTCTTTGGAGCAGCTCAGACTGTAAAGAAGGCACTGTGTGTTTGATGGAGTTGAAGAACTTGAAGAACTTCAAGGTGCTGAGAGCATGCCCTTTAAAAGCAGTCAGTAATCCTTTCCAGTGCAACAGGGCCAAGAAGGCCTGTGTCCCTGCCTCGCTCACTGCTTCCACCCAGCCACCTCTGCTTCCCCTTCATGTAAACCAGAGCTGGAAGAGCAGACCCACCAAAGCTGCTCACTCACCCTTTTAACCTGATTTGTATGTAGGTGTAAAAGTGGAATCGGTTCTAGATTTTGTTCAAGCAAATTTTGTGGGTGTAGTTATTTATTCGCTGGGGGTGTGGCCATTTTGGACTTTTCTTCACAGGGGTGATTGATACTCTCATTGACCCCATTTTCTTTTATCCATTGGCTTGGGATGAATGGAAGGCGCTTTGGATGTGAAAGCCCTGATTGGAGCTTGTGATTAGCAAACAACCAAAATGTTAGAATGTGATAGTATTTGCAGGGGTATCCAACGTGCATGGGTTTTGCAGATAATAAGAGGTGCATGCTTCTTGCATGCACAGATCAATTATCAAGCTGCACGTTTTGATAGCTCTCCACACAGAATTCCTTCATTTTAAGTGACTTTACACACACACACACACGTTTGTACATGGTGAGAGGGTAGAAGCACAGATGTAGGTAAGTGTATGTAGTTAAACATGTTCTTGCTGAGTCTTGGAACTACACTTGATTGCATCAGATAGACAGCAGTAGGATGACATCAGAAATGCTTGCTTTCTGAGTGCTTTCTTACAGGAATAGTTCTTTTTGAAAAAAATACCCTTAAAAATGAAGACTCATGACAGCGTTCTGATCATGGTCTTATCTGCTTTCACTGATCCCTCATTTGGAGCTTCCTATTTTCAGTGATGGAAAGGATGAAAAGACAGAGTCAGAGGAAAGTAGAACAAACACATAATAGAAGCAGGTACTGCTGACTCTGATTCAGAGCTTTATGTTCTTCAGTTTATGCTTAATTCTTGCGGTCACACTGCTTTTCCTAACCACAGCAGATCCACTGCAATGGCAATGAGATTTGGTTACAAAGGGTAGGGGAAAAATGCTGAAAGGAAGTTTGAATAATTCTCAAATGAGATGGACTTAAGACATCCTTTTCTTTTTTTTTTTTTAAGAATCATTTCTTTATTGTAAGATTTTTATTTATTTTGCAAAGAAAAACTGGGTTGTAAACCAGAGGTGTAGGGGTGAGAGGATTCACCAGGCACAGAGTGAGGAGCAGAACAGGCAGATCTGCTGAAACACACTGCTGAGGGGAACAGCAGATGAGACAGGAAAGGTCTGCTCCCCCATGTGGGTCATCTCCCAGGCTGTCTCGGTGATAGTGCTGAGACTTAACCTAGACCACGAGAGAGGCCCAGAGCTTCCTTTTCCTCTCTGTATTCTGTGGGTTCTTTATTATATAAAATAAAGTATGTTTCTTGATGGTAGGGCTTTCCACAGTCTTTAAAGATCCAATGTGTAACTACCTAAAATGAATAAATAGTGTGTTGCATTGTTGTGATTTGACCTAAGAACAATTCATAGCTGAACATGAAATTGTAGGCAACACAATTTAGAAAAGATTTATCTAGGAGGGTGCCCCTATGGCATGTCTGTCCGTTTGCTTTAACAATGTGTGCAGCTATTAGGAGTTAGGCCTGTATGTGGGGTTTATGGTGAAGTTAGGTCACTGTGCTGGGCCCTTATTCTCTAGTACCTGTGTCCGTACCACAAGAGACATCACAGAGCTCCCCACCCACTGCAGAGAAGACTCCATTGGGGATGGCCACAGGGAGGCGCCTGCAAAGAGAGTGCCCACTAGCAGCAAACCCGCTGGGACAGGATCTTGGACTTGCTTCCTGCTTCCTTGCTTCCTTTCTATCGTTAAAGTCACCTGGTATATGGTGTTTTCTTCTGCCTGAGTGAACAAGGGAGCCTTCAAGGCTGAACAAATCCCAAGATTTCATATGAAGCAAATGGCAACAGTTACTCTTCTATTGCCACTGCGGCCAGGTGAGGCATTTGAAAGGTAAGCTGAATGCAGATAGAGAATTACCCTCAGGAATTACTGAAGAAATGGTAAAAGTGAGGGGAAGGACAGAAAATGCATATAAAAGGCTTCATTGTGGCCTCAAAATATATTTTGCGTGTAGTAGCGAAGTCTTAAGGCTCAAGAACGGAGTGCCTATGGGGTGGTGGGACAGCAGAGGTGATAAAGGGCCACGAGGTGTGCGAAGACAGCATGGCCCCTTCTGTTCAGGCAACCCTGGGGAACCTATTCCCTACACCCCCTGCCAGTTGGACATGACAGCCAGACCTCAGACTGGACCTGTGGCTTCTGTCTCTAGAACGGCCAGGCCCGGGGCAGAGCTCGCTGTGTGCAGTGACCCAAGTTGGTTCCCGTCTACTGCTCCTCTTGCAGACATCTGGGACAAAAGTCCAAAAAATAAAAAGTAGCTCTAAAGCCCATTTCTTTTCTTTCTTTAGAAATGTGACAGCCTGTGTGGGAGAGAACTCACAGCCACCTGACCTGCTGAAGACTTGTTCAGGGAACTCGGAAAGAACTGCAATGGTTCTGTTGTTTCCTTAGGCAGAGGAGTGTGCGCGCACACACGGGAGGCATCTACTTACACTGATGCCTCATGTCATTAGTTGTAGAGATGCACAGTTTCATGCTTTTAGACTTCATTTATAAATCACATCAAAGTACTTAACAGGAACGTGTGGTTTAAAAAATACTCCTCCTCAAATGGAAACATGCAGACACATACCATTTGGCTCCCAGTTTGACAAATCACATGATTCTCCAGGTGAACAAGAATTGAATGAGACTCAGAGGAGGCCAGAGTCCACAGGAGGGTCGCGTTGACTCTCACACGCTGCACAGGCCTGTCTTCACGTTGAGATCTGACACAGCGCACCACGGAGCAGGGGTCCAGGTGCTGGCCAGATCCGCCTCGCCGGGCTCTTTGGATCACACACTCCAACCTCCTTCCCTGGAGGGCAGCTTGCAAATGGAAGTCGGGAGCAGCACTCTGGGGCCAGACAGAAGTACCGCTTGCCAGCTGATGCCCTCCCCTGGCTGGATTCCGTGAGGACGTCTCCACCGCAGGTCTCAAGCACATTTGAGGTCTCCTTTCTCCCATCTGTGTCCTAAATCCAAGGAGTGAACAAGAGCAACCTAGTGGAGCAATTAAATGAGCACCAGCTTTAGGAAATTCTTATGGCTGTCACATTTTGGTGATTCCATCTGATACGACTTTTGTCTTAAAATGTCAGATTTGCTTTGATGTCCAATGGATAGGCAACCCTCTGGTGAAGACTTAATGATTTATGTACACTAAAAAATGTAACATAAGGGTGTGCGTGATAACTTTGTAAAATGAGAATTTCTTCCATAATATGAATAATTTATTTCTCAAATTATTTGCTAAAAAGATGGGGAACACAGGCAGGAAGTTGTGTTATTACCTTCTGAACCTGTGAATCTCTTGTGTGGATTTGATCCAATAAGTAGGCAAGTGCTTCTCAGAGGACTTTCGTGACCGCACAGAAATTTGACTTGAATATCATTGCAAACTGTAAGAAACTGCATGAAAAAGAATGTGTGCATTTAAGATCTTAAAAACCAGATTTTCACATAGTGGAAAAGACTGACGTATTAATGTGCTTTCACTGATTTAACTTCATAAGTTGTCTTATAAAACCTTATAAAATTACTATATGCTAAATTTCACAAGAAATTCTACTGGGAGAACAGATTGGAAATCGTTAATTTGAAGTTTAACATCAAAGACAAAGAGCAAGTCTTCTGTAAGTAGCATAGCGCCTCTAGGTTTCTAGGATGTCCCCCCCTTGCCTCCCTCTGCCCTACCCACCTCTCGACTGGCTGCCCCACTGCGTGGTGCAGGTGTTTTGGAAGAACCACGAACAAGGGCCACGGGGCCTGCCCGAGCTGGCGGGAAGGCTTCCTTCCCTCGGCAGAGCATCCTGTTCTCCTCTTCCCCAGCACTCGCTGCCCAATGTGGGACTCTGTGCTCATGTAGCAGCTCTCAAACATGAAACCGATTTCGGAAAACACATTGTTTATTTAACTTAACCATGGCACTCCACAAGCATTAGAATAAAAACTGGCCTGGCTTTGGAAAGACCGAGCCAACAGGAAGGCTTCTGCTGCTCCCGGAGCTCAAGTGGAACTGCCTCACCAGTAGGTCAGGCTGTGCCTGGAGGCCGGTGTCTGGGACGAGGAGCTGAGGGTGGCCTAGTGCCTTTAAAGTCACCACCTTCTTCCTCGGGGGGCGCTGCCTTGAAGGAAGCATCCAAATCCTTGAAAGAAGCATCTCACTCAGAACTGGAGGCTGTGCTTCTCTTCCCCCACGGCTACACCGTGAAGGTGAGGGCAGTTCCCTGACATCAGTTTACTCACATGAAGACGTGAGATTTCTTCCCCTGGAAGAATTACCCTAAGAGAGAGACCCTTTGGAGACAGATTGCATCGCTGCGCTGACGGAGCGCAGCTTTACAGCAGGAAAGGTTAGGCCAGTGAGAAGAGTCCCTCCAGCTGCTGCATGTGCTTCTCCACTCTGGTGACTTCAGAACCCGAGAATGTCCTTAAAGTCTGCTTTGGAAATCTTTTCCTTTTGAATCCTCTTAGCAACCGTCATTTATTACTGTCTGTCTTTACAGTGGTGGAAACACACATCCAGCAGAGAGGCGAGCGAGACGCGAAATGCGCTTCCGTCCTTAGGTCCTTAGGCTGAAATCGCTTGAGACTCAGAGTCGGGGCTGGAGAAGGGGCACGGGCAGAGGCTGAGGGAAGGAGGGCGCCTCGCCAGGCTTCCGTGGAGGGATGAAGGCAACCCTAGTCTGCCTGTTCTTGCCGTTGCGAGTTGTTCAGTGAGAAGCTCGGGGGACTGGACTGAACGTCGGTGGGAGCCGGCTGGGGGAGAACAGTCTCACGGGGACAAGGGGCCACGGTGAGGGACCCGGGTTCTCGTCACCAGGGTCTCAGGTGCAAACCTAAGTTGCTGGAGAGAATACAGATATCCCCGGGTTGGGGACGGTGATCTGGGAAAAGGGAAACGCCTGGGGTGGGAGTTTCATCTTCCTGCTCTCTACACTGCTTCTAGGCAAGAGGAGACTGGGCAGGTCTTCCTGGGCAGGGGCGTCCTCCGTAAGGAAGGGTGGGCTGTCGGGGCCGGCGGGACCGTAGGTGCAGCAGCAGTGTTGGCTGGTGGGGGTGTGGGCGGTAGGGTGGGGTGTTGGCTGGTGGGGGGGTGCAGGGGGATGTGGGCTTGAGGGAATGCATGCTGATTGCTGTCCCCATGGCTGGCACCAGGGGGTGGGTACCACAAGGGCAAGCAAAGGTGAGCCGTGGCTTCTGTTGTAGAAATAGGATACGAGCTCAGCGTTCTTCACTTTTCTGCTTGCAAGTGGGAGAACATATATCCCTGCCTTTTGAGGAAATCTCAAAATCTCTTGGGGGAGCCAAAGAGGATCATTTAAGAGTTACTTCGCAGCAAGAAACAAGTAGGAATTTGCAGAACACCTCCTCATTCTTCTTCTTTTTTTTTAATATTAAATGTGTTGTTTGAGTTTCATGACATTATAACTGTGCATTTCCAGATATTCTTAGAGTGCTCTGAGAATCCTAGGACACACGTTTGCCATAATTTCTATGTCACGTATGAAGAAGTGGGGTTCAGAGAAGGGGGAGGGAGGGACCTAAGGTCAGCAAGGGGCAGGGTCAGCCTCGGATTCAGTGCCTCTGGCCATGCCCTACGCCTGGGTCCCCATAACTTTCCCATTACTTTGCACCAACCCCCTCATCTTCTCTGTTCCCCAAAGTTAGAACTGCCTTTAATGCTGCTCTGGACACCGATGTGCCATGGAACTTGTCCTGTACGTCGGTGACAGAGCGGATGAGATTGGTTAAACCAGCACAGCGGAGTCTTGAGTGAAGTCATATTGAAAACTCAGCAAGCAATGCTTTTGCTCAACGAAAGTGTTTGATGAATTTCCCCCCGAAGTATGTATGACAATCTTTCAATGTTATTGAGAGAAATATGGGCTTGTTGGAATGTAAGGTGGGCATAGTGGACTTGATTCCACGAGAAATTTTCCACATGGATATTGTTTTAGAAAAGCAAGAGGCAAGTAAAATGGAAATTAAAAGCAAAACAGGTGTCAGTGAAATGCTTTGTTACTTGTGAAGTAGATTCCCTTCCTGAAGCTTTGAAGTTCCACCGTCCTTGGTGCTATCGGAACTTCCAAGTCTCCCGTAGAAGCAACCCCGGAGGGCGAGCCCTTGACGGTGGAGAGGCCACCTCCCTGTGCTAGCAGCCAGCCAGCGACCTCCGGGGCGGGGGAGGCTGCTAATTGGCATCAGCCTGCTCTGCACACAGCACATTTCCCAGGGCAAAGCCGGCTATCACATGGGCCTGCGTGCCCTGGAACTGCAGCCTGCCTTTCTGGGCACGGGCGAGGTCCTGACCAAATGTTCAAAAATAAAAAAGATCAAAGAGCCTGTAAGTGGTGGTCAGCATGCCTGTAGTCAGTACAAAAGGAGAAACAAAACAGCCTCATTTCTGCAGCCGTGCCGGCAAACCCCAAATCACTACCACACCAGGCACTGAGAGCGCTGGGGGCTGGGCCTGGGCAGTGAGGGAGCCTGCTTCAGAGCATGGAAAGCAAAGCAAAACAAAAGTATGGGCCCAAAGTAAAATCCCTCTTCTCTGGTGCACCAGATAGCAACATCCTACGTATTTGGCAGGTCTTTTATGTGCAAAAGCTTGATATTTGTTTTGATTTCATGCAAATGGGACAAATCCTTGGCTTTAGAATGGAGAGAGTCACAGGATTCATCTTGCTTCATGGGAAAAGGCAGTGTCGACAACCAAACAGGGTTTTATGTTCTGGTCCCCTTCTCTTAACGTTGGCCAGAAGTGCGCCTCCTACACAGAGGTGGACAGCTGCTCCCCTGTCTCCCCCACCCTGCTGGGGAGTGATGTCTGATGCCGAGGAATATGCCCTCTAGTCCATGATATTCTTCGTTGCTCTTCTTGTATTTTTCGAGTGAGTTGGGAGCACAGGAAGGGGGTTACCCAGTGGGCACCACAGGAGGGAAGATAATGTGGCTGAGACAAATGTTGAAAGTGTTCGATAGAATAGGGTATGATCTGGATCAAAAGCAAAGCTGCTTTGAATGGCTGACCCACCTTCTCCCCTCGAGGACCTGCACCACAGAGAGGCAGCCTGGTTGGGGTTACTGCAGGGCAACAGGGATGGGGCAGGAGTACCCAGACTTCCATGCACACATGGATGCACTTGGCAAGTGAGGGAACGGTGAGTCTGAGGTTCCTGCCACCCACCTCCATCTGGGCAGGACTTGGGGAACTGTCTGGTCCTTGAGGTTTCTGCAGTGCCCATGGGTCTGTTAGGAAGCTGCCTTCTTGCGGACATGGGCTCATATCCCACAACTGGCCACTGCCATGTCTCGGCGAAGAGTGCCATGACCAACTGGGCAGTAACTCGAGTTCTCCCTGGGCTGCTGTGTCCATCCATCTATTTGCTCACCCCTTCACTCTCACCGGTTACCAGTTAGTAAGGGCACACAGAGAGCTAAGGCCCGTTTCTGTCCTTGCCAACTCAACCCTATTGCCTGAGGCCACCTGGTCCCTGGAGAGTGAGAGGTGCTCCAGATCTGCCCACCAGCTTCCATCACAGTGGCAGCTCTTTGCTGTGGCAGCTTATTGCCTTTCCCTGAGCAACTCTCCCTGGCAATGAGTGGTTTGACTCCCAGCAAATCGAAATAGATAAAATAAGGCCTTAGGAGCCCTAGGACTGCACAACTGCCAGTTCCCCAAATCAAAACAGGCCTGCAGCAGTTTTCCGCTGGTTCATGTGAAGAGGTGGGAGGGAAAGAGGCTTCTGATTTTGAGACCTAGATGCAGCTACATTTTTGTTAAAAAATATGGTGACCTCGGGAGACAAAAAGTCACTCAAATCTCGAAATGACAGCTTTGGAGAGGCTCTTACTTTACTCAGGGTAAATGGATTATTCATTCCACCTGACAGGTTTACATTCATTTCAGGAAAAGTTGCACACCTCACTCAAGGCGACCCAGCAGTGTTTTCCAGAATAATGGCTAAAAATTTGTAGGAAGTTGGTACTCCATTGAACACATACCCCACAGCTTCTTTATCCAGTCATCTGTCACAGGTGCTTGCATTGATTCCTTGTCTTGATTATTGTGAATGACACTATCACAGTGGGGGTGTGTGACTCTTTTCATTTTAGTGTTTACCTAGAGTACCTAGAAGTGGTAACCCTGCATCATATGGTCTGTCCATTTTTACTTTTTGAGGAATCTCCATAGAGGCTGTACCAATTCATATTCCCCCAGAAGTGAACGAGGGTCCCTTTATTTCCACATCTTTGCCAGCATTTGTTGTTTCATTTTTTGATGCGGCCCATTCTCACCGGTGATGCCATTCTTCTTGTTAGTTAGTCTGAGCCCTAGTTTCTGTGTTTCAGTCCCTTCCCAGCCTTGCAGATGCGGGTGTCCTGACTTTTCTCCTGCCTCTCCTTGCCTCTCCGTGGACATCTCTCCATGACCCCGTGACCATGTGTGCCTGTTCTCCCCTCTCTGAGCGTCTGGCCTGTGCTGCCCAATAGCACAGACTGGACCACGCTTTACCCCAACATGTCTATCTTACAGATGGACTGTGAACATGAATACACACTGCATTTTGAAGACTTAGAATAAAAAAGAGAATGTAAAATGTCTAAAAGTGGATTGCATGTTGAAATGATCATCTTTTGAATCTGTTGGCTTAAATAATAGCCTTAAATCAACTTCACCTGTTCTTATTTTTTTCAAAAGTGGTTACTAGAGAGTAAAAGTGATTTTTGTGGCTTCCATGACCATTCTTTTCAGTGACGCTGCCGCAAAGCACAAGAGGTCTGAAATCATTTACCACTGGAATATTTTTTGGTCAGGGGTCAGGATTTTGGGTTATAAGGAATAGAAACCACTCACAATTTGTGATGCAACTAGCGGAGGAATAGTAAGTAGTTAGTAGATACTAAATAACCCAATGAAAGTGCTGTACGTGACTCATCAATGAGATTGCCAGGTCTGTGGGGAAAAAAGAAAAGAAATATGGCCTCCCTGGTGGTCTAGGGATTAAGTCTCAGCGCTCTCACTTCTACAGCCTGAGTTGCATCCCTGACCAGGGAGCTACCCACATGGCGCAGCAGACCTCTCCTGTCTCGCCCGCTGCTCCCCTCAGCAGTGTATTTCAGTCAGTCTGCCTGTTCTGTTCCCCGCTCTGTCTCTGGTGAATCCTCTCACCCCCCCGCACTCTGGCCTGCACCCCAGCTCTTCTACTAAATAAATAAAGCAAGAAACAGAACCTCACATCTTTGTCTCACACAGCTCTGGGCACATTGAGAACTCAAGAAATACTGGTTGAAAGAATAACTGGTTGTTATTGTTTTCTGCTCTGGTTTCTCAGCTACTCCTTTTCTAACCTCCACTTAAATACCTCCTTTGTTGAAGTTAATTCTTAATAAGTAGCGCAAATCTCGTAAAATCATTTAGTAGATTGCCTAAAAACGTTCTGTCTTTGGGAAAGGGCATAATTGTGTTTCAAATTTTATAGAGTGAAAAGGCAAAACAAAACTGGCTGAGATGGACTGACCCAGAACACAGACTTTTCATGCTTGGTCTTTTCACTAAATGTCCTTTAAAAAAATTATAGTACTTTAGTGGGCCGAATTACAATTCCCTAGGAATAAGATGGTTGAAACCCTTAGACTTCCCCTCCCCCATCATGGTTTAAGTGATTTCATTAGGATTTGGGATTGTAAAATAACTTGAGCTTTGCTTTTAACTATAAAATCCTCTCAGTCTTTTGATCATATTTTTTGAGCAGAATTTTCCTGAAAACTCTAATATTCTTAGATTTGGAAAACTGCTTCTATATGGAAATGAGATAGGGAACAATGTGATTTTTCCTGAGTTATTTCTGAGTTATCTCCCAGAAATACATTGGTATAGTTTGTGATTTTTAAGCCATCACAGCAGCTCCCTGAGAGATTCCAAGTCTTGAAGGATGGTCTTGCGTCAGCCGCTCTGTTATTGGGCCTGTCCTTGCAC